CCGAGAACATCCCGGCAGGGTACGTAGGATTCAAGGAGGTCTTACAACAGAGTCGGCATTTTGCGTCAACCGTCGCATGGTGAGCAGACTGTTGTATGGGTTGACGACCACGTCCACAGAGTGGGTATCGGGAAAGACAGAGTATGTCTGCATTAATTTCTTGGGGAATCGGTCGTTCATCCGCTCAAGGATAAAGCTGCCCAGACCAGAGCCTGTGCCTCCTGCGATCGAATGCAAAAACATGAATCCCTAACATAGTGCGATGTCAGCCCCATGATTCGAGCGACGTATTGAAGTGCCGGTCCTTGTGTATCTCCTCCTTAGGCACCATGGATCATACCTCAAGTGAATCGCTCCCATCCGCTTCTCGATCGATCATGTCGAAGATCTCCTCCTGCACAACTTCACCCGCCGAGTAACCGGCGCCCCAGTTATTTCCTGCGCCAATGCCCTGCTGTCCAATAAAGAAGTTCTCGGGGTTGTAGATGTTGCGGTAGGGACCGGCTTGAATAGCATTGAGGACCTGGTTGGGAAGCATGAGCTCATGATCTGTGCACTAGTATAGCCGTGTCGACTGATTGCTGCCGAGGGAGGGTTCGTACTCTGGGCTCAAGATCCAGAAGGATCGCTCGGGGGATATATCGAGTATCATCACTCTAAGAAGAGAAAAGGTTGTTAGACTTGTTGGTCCAGGCACCCAAGTTGTGGAATCCGCTCGCGTACCTGGTAGAAGAAGACATCCTTACGGTCGCCGCCTTCAGTTGCGAAATCTTCTAAATTGCCATCCTGACTTATTCCGTGTTCGAGACAAAGCTGCTGCCAGAATTGCGAGCCGACTAAATGACATGTCAGTCAGTCCCAGCGCTCGAGCAAAGAAACACATTCTTGGGAAGCTATTGTTGTTTGCGATAAGAAATAGTGTTGGAGCAGGACTAGGTACCATTGTTGCCGCACTGGCCGGCTTGGATTGTGATTATTTCTCTGATCTAGGAATTAGCAACATGGATGATCAGATAGAGGACCTGAGACTGATTACAAGAGAAGCGAGATTGTGGCACATACCTGGGCATCTTTCTGCTTGACCACCGTCAGTAGTCGTGGTTTTTGGCCCACGCGTAGCGCGTTCCGCGGGGAAACTTCCAGCTTTCAATCTAGGTTAGGTGTGGCGGCCTCAGGCCAAAACTGCTACCAGCAGGCAGCTTCTACAACAATGAACTTTCCTGGACTCGAGCGCAACGTGTTCTTGCCCGACACATCTCGGTTGGAGAATGCTACTCATAAGAACATGGATCTCTCTTCTTAGCTTACACCGTCTCCACGAGTGAGCGGGATATTCACGCATTGATCCGCGCTACCGACTGATGTGCACTCTCATCGAAGCTTAGGCTTTGCGCATAATTGCCGTACTATTTGACGGATGGCCAGATCGCTGCTGTTCTGAATTCAACAACAGGCCCATTAAGAGCCTCTATCCCACCCTGACCTACCCAGAGCAATCATATTTCTGTATGTACAAAGGAGGCCGAATGTGGGCTTGGTTCAGTAACCGACTTTGCAAGCTGTCACAAGCATCCCCGCCCCGGCAGCAACCCCGTCAATGATTCTCACTTGACAGCCCTTCTGCCGACCATATGCTCTCACACACCCTTCTCGGACCGCTTCTTCCATGCCTACCATACCGGCGCAGCCCATGCAGATCGCTCCCACGGGACGTTGCGAGCCTTTGAGGAGTCGCTCAGTTGCTTCAACAAGCCGTCTTCTCACTTCTTGAGGAGGAGTAGTGTGCAGCTCAACAGCGGTCAGTCCTGTAGTCTCAACCCCAGCAAAGTGGCTAATGCTACCGTCGCTTGAGTGACCGAGCATGTCAGCAACGGCACTGCTGAGCTCCGCCTCCCAAATTTTGCCGGTGGAGATGATGCCGAAAGTTTCCGGCGACTGGGACTTGTGGAAGCCATGCCCTGATGCGTACTGAAACGAGCTGACCACGCCCAGCGAAGCTAGCACTCCAGCTTCGAAAATACCCGTGACGTACTTTCGCTTCACTTTCTGCTCCGATGGCACGATGGAGGTGTTTGATTCCTCGATCTTGCGCACCTTTTCCTTCAACATCCCCACAAGAGGGTGTGCTGAGAAGCAACATACGATAAAGCCGTCATATTCGGAGATGATGCGCTCAAGAAACGGCATGCAGTAGAGAGCCGATTTCACCGAGTCTTCGCCTGAGTCAATGCTGGCCACCCCCTCCACAGTGCTGCCGTCCGGAAGAGTGACGGTTTCCGACACCGGGGCTGTGAAGTAGTCGAACTGAGTACCCCCGTGGCCGAGATTATCCAACAGTGGAATTAGCGCATTGGTCATATGCGACGAGGTGTTCGGGTTGATGACCAGTATCGAGCATGTGTCCTTGCTTGGGGCGCTCATCTTGTAGAAAGCAGTGTGGCAAGAATGAGATCAGGAGTCGGGCGCAGGTACAATGACGGTATGGCCAAAGTATGTTGATGAGTCAAGCTCATCAGAGTTCACCAGATGCCGATAGCGGATTTGTTAGTAATTGTTGCCCAACAGTGAGAGCTGGTTACCCAAGGAAAGGAAACCAAGCCATCATCAATTATGCTTCACATACTAAATCAGAATATGCAATGATGCTTAAGTCAGTCAAGATGTTGATACTGAGTCAGGACTCATGGTAGCCGCTGCCGATCGAAGCCGAGATATACAGCTGCTCGGCGATGCCGTCGGACGGGCGGGGTGTGGGTTGCGCCATACTCAACTAGTCAGTCAACTATGGCGGGGAAGGTGACAAATACAGCTCTTATCTCCCTAACACCTGCTTTCATTGTATTTCCTTCATAACCCATCCTTTCTCGACGAGGACCAGTCTCAATCACTCTCTGATAAATCTCCTTATCCCCAGACATTGCATTTCAGGTAATTATCACATTCAGCAATATAGCCAATTGCGATTCCCGGCACAAGCTAACTTCCTCGTAGCTCTACTGTACCCCGCTTAGGTGTCTGAACGCTGAGCCATTCGCCTTATATTCCACCATGCCTCTCGTCGCACAGAATCCCCTACCAAGGGTCATCCTTGGGTTGATGACATTTGGTCCGGACGAGTCTGCAGGGGCTCGGATCACCTCAGTCGACGAATTCAACAAGTGCCTGGACCTTTTCCAACAGCAAGGCTTCAATGAGGTTGACACTGCGCGCACATATGTAGGAGGACAACAGGAAGCTTTCACTGCTCAGACGAAGTGGAAGGAGCGTGGGTTGACCTTGGCCACCAAGTGGTACCCCGGGCAGCCGGGCTACCACAAGCCACATGTCATTCGTGAGAAACTCGAGCTCTCACTGCAGAACCTGGGCACAGACTGCGTTGACATCTTCTACCTTCATGCTGCCGACCGCTCGGTCCCCTTCACGGAAACCCTGGAGGCTGTCAATCAATTGCACAAGGAGGGAAAGTTCGTCGAGCTCGGTCTGAGTAACTTCACTGCCTTCGAGGTCGCGGAGATCGTTACAGTCTGCAACGAGAGAGGCTGGGTACGACCGACCATCTACCAGGCCATGTACAATGCTATCAGTGAGTCGCTTGCTCGGGTTTCTGGAAATTATGATGCCCCATGATAGTACTAACAAGCCTTGCCACAGCTCGCTCCATTGAAACCGAATTGGTTCATGCTTGCAAGCGGTATGGCATCGACATTGTGGTGTACAACCCGCTTGCTGGTGGAATCCTGTCTGGAAAGTACAAGACCCAGGATATTCCCGAAGACGGCAGATACAGCGATAAGTCTTCCACTGGCACGTTGTATCGCAAACGCTACTTCAAGGACGCGACCTTTGACGCCCTGCGGATCATCGAGCCTGTCGCAGAGAAGCACGGTCTGACATTGCCGGAAATTGCGTTCCGCTGGATCCGTCATCACTCTCTTCTAAACATCAAGGAGGGTGGTCGAGACGGCATTATCGTCGGTGTGAGCAGCATCGCACAGCTAGAGAGCAATCTCAGAGACATCCAGAAGGGCCCGTTGCCCGAGGAAGTGGTGGAGGCCCTGGACAAGGCATGGCTGATTGCGAAGCCCACGGCGCCGGACTATTGGCACCTTGATCTGAAGTACACATATGATACGAAGGAGGCATTGTTCAAGCCGAAGGCCAACGCCTAAGTGTGGTGCGAGTGACAGTAAGTTAACGGAACAAGACAAATATAAAATCAATGAGTCTCGATATATGAAATCACTCCATCCAATCGCAAGCTGGTTGTCACACACTTTCCTACATATCTGAAACAAAAGATAAATTGAGGCCGGGGACATTGTGAGCACGAAAACCTTTGATAAGGAATCCAAATTGCCAAGCTACGTGGCTCGATTTACAACTCACATGTGATACGGACGTAACAAGAAAACGCGCAACCTCACATGAGGTTGGAAAAGGGAAAAGGGGGGTGGCCGAATTGGCAGCGATACCATGGTACTATGGTAAGTAGTAAATTGGCAGCAAAAGTGGCGGAAGGCATGCAGCACGCAGTCAAATCGGAATGTATTCTTGTAAGCCGGCAAAGTAGGCCATCACGAGTCGATCGAGCATCAAGAGACGGGATGCGGTTGTTGTTCCAAGTTACGGAGTACGGAGTAGATAGATGGAAGATCACATGAACAGCAACCCTTGGAGGGTCTAGAGCATCGATGGCATTCCACCCACCACCCACCACCCACCACCCATGCTGCAGCTTGGTCAGTGTCGCATATCGCCGACAGGCTGAGGAGCATATTCGGAAACAGACGCCGCCGAATGTTTTGACTGCGAAGCATTTAGCTCTGTGATCTCTATACAAGGCTCTTTCTAACGTCAAGTCTAACAAGAGCGACTACCGGTACGTGCAGCATCACGGTTATCTCCGTTCTCGACCGGAACAAGATTCCCCTCCGATTCGCTATAGCTGGGTGAACTCTTTTGTTCATCGTACGCAACGAGACTCCTATTCTGAGCTACCAGGAGTCGATCCTCGCATACTACATGGTCCGAATCTGTTGTAGCCTCAAGGCCAGTCAGTCCCTTACATGAATCTAGGCCCATGTTCCAAGACTAATCTGGGGAAGGCGTCTGACAGCACCTCTGCCACATTTCTCACTCACGGCCTCAAGAATCCCTAGTCTCAGGCCTGTCGCAAATAACTCCTTGACAATGCGCTTATCACTTCCTTGCGTGACCATTCCATGAAGATACTGTACATACTTCCTATCTGGCTTGCTAGCAGCACCGGACTATGAGATTTTGTCACAAAACTCTAATCCTCAAAAGGAGCCAGACTCAGAGGAATTCGAGGAAGGCAAAGCTGGTTTCCCTCTCTCCCCTGACAAGGTTGTTTCCATCGCTCGCGCAAATAGGTCCTGGCGCTCGTGCTGCAGTGATACCTTGCTACTATGCAGCGCGAACTACCGGCAAGCGCCGAACGCAAACGAGCCTCGACAGCCCAAGGAAGACTGCATCAAGGGGGCCCGCAGCTCTCTCAACCCATGAGTCTCAGTCGAAAACACCTCAAGCGCTTGAGGAGCCGCATCAATGCTGGGATCTAGATTCCGAGGTCACACTGATATCTGCTACCGGGACATGGGTGAGAAGAAAAACCATGAGGGTGGCTTGACAATAGTCCCCTTGCCTGCAGCTTGGCTGTTGAGAGTTGCAATGAAGGACTAAAAAACTAAACTACTTAAATTGTTGATTGACCTGGTGTGGCGGTCGAAAATTTACTCCGGGGGTTGATCCAAGTCGCAATTGAGCCTATCCAGGCACCCCGGAAAAATCATGTCGCTTGTCATTGCTCGCTCGGCTGCACGCAAGCAGAGCTTAACAGTGCTCTCTTCCACAACGCTTACATCGGACGTCGAGAAAAAGGCTACGGTCAGTGTGACGGAGAAGCCTTCAGCATCTATTGGCGATGGGCAACTTGGTGATGATGCGGTCGACTCTCATCGCTTCTGGTTTCAACGGTCCAAGACATACAATCCACATGCTATCGCGACGCAACCGTCGGTCTTCGACGACCCAGATTTAGCGGAGGAGTACAAGCCACGACCGGACTGGGAGAATATACATCGGTTCGACCCAGCAGCACGATGGACCAGAGGCGAAGAAGATGTACCTTCACCCTAGGAAGTCAAAAGCATGGATGGTGTTGAAAGCTAACTCTGATGCAGAGCGTGGTCAAGAAGCTCGATATCCGCATAATTCTATGGGCTTGCGTGATGATAACTGCGCTGGAACTCGACAGATCCAATATCCGTATGTACCGCCGCCCCTGATAAGCTTCGACCCTGTCTGTCGACTAGTTTCTGACCGTACCAGAGCAAGCCAACGCGGATAACTTTCTGACCGACCTGAATCTTAGCCGCGATGGTCAGTGAGCACCTATCACACCACGCCGCTGTACTGACTGCTCTGCCCGAGGTAGATTACAACCTGGGAAATACGGTGTATAGGTTGTGCTATCTGTTAAGTGAGATACCGGCACAAATTATCGGCAAGAAGATTGGCGCGGACCGCTGGATTCCGATCCAGATGATATCGTGGTCTATAGTCGCTACTTGTCAGTTCTGGCTGTCTGGCAGGACGTCTTTCCTGGTAACCAGGGCTTTGATTGGTATCTTGTCGGGAGGATTCACACCCACGGTAAGTGAGTTCGAATGATGGCTAGGTGCAAGGAAGTTGTTCTGACCGGCTCTAGATGTTACTTTACCTGTCGTACTTCTATAAGCACCACGAGCTGTCAATACGTCTTGGCTTCTGGTACTCAGCTTCTTCGCTAGCCGATATACTGGCGGCCCTTCTGGCATACGGCATCTTGCATCTGGGAGGCCGTGGTGGTCAAGCTGGCTGGCGATGGCTTTTCTTGATTGATGTCAGTCACGTTCTCCCAAGCCCCAGAATACTGTTACTCATAGGATATAGGGTCTTTTCACTCTGGCATTGGGACTCTTGTCCTTCGTCTTTCTGCCACCTGGACCTACTCAGACTGCAAACTGGGCCCGAGGTAAAGATGGCTGGTTTACAGAACGGTATGTGGTTCTCTAGTCAAGCTTGTGCGACCTCTGAGCACTGAATCCAGCTACTTCATAGAGAGGAAGTTATCATGGTCAATCGCATATTACGCGAAGATCCCAGTAAGGGCTCAATGCACAACAGACAGCCTTTGACAGCGAAGCTGGTGTGGCTTAGCTTCAGCGATTTCGACCTGTGGCCGCTGTACATTGTCGGGATCATGTTTCTGACCCCCTGGAGTGAGTGAATCTACTTGGATTCAAGCTCCGCCCGTCAGAAGAAAAGTCCAAGCTGATAAAATGTGAACAGCAACGGTCTCGCAGTATTTCACTCTGCAACTGAAGGACTTCGGATTCGATACCTTCAACTCCATTCTTTTGTCTATGCCATACAGTGTACGTGCGAGACCAGATGTTTGATTGTTTGTTGAGTACCAGTAGTGAGACGCTAATCTGCTAACGATAGGTCTTCATGATCATCACCCGAATCATCCTCACGTACGCGGGCGAGTATTTCGAGTCTCTATCATGGATGGGACTCATCGCCCAGGTCTGGAGTTTGCCAATGTTGATTTATATGAATGCGGTGGACCTCAGCCAAACGAACAAGTGGGTGGTGTGGACTGTCCTCACCCTGTTTCTCAGCCTCCCGAGTGGTGAGTGCATGTCCGGTGGAGGCTGCTTCTGCTGTTTCAGTCTCGGAAATCACTATGGTTACTGATGAATCATATATGCAGCTCATGCCCTCCAAGCGGGGTGGATTTCCCGCAATTCGAATAGCATCAGAACTCGGGCCATTGCGGCGGCGATATACAATATGTCTGTTCAGTTGTCTGCCATCATCTCCTCAAACATATACACAGATGGTGAGTGTTGATCATTTGTGACGCATCTCGGAAGCATTCCTGACTGACTATGGATGCGTCCATTGTGTGTGTAGGGGATGCACCGCGTTACATCGTCGGCAACCGAGTGCTTCTGATACTTGTGGGCGTCAACATAATACTCTACATTGCTACTAAGGCTTACTACATGCTGCGAAATCACGAGCGAGACCGACGTTGGAACTTGATGACCGAGGAACAAAAGCTTGACTATGTCGCGACGACCAAGGATGATGGGAACAAACGCATGGATTTCCGGTTTGCGCATTGATATATGGCGAAGGAAGATCTTCGACATGGGTAAATATTATGATGACAAGGTTAGAGAATCGATAATTAGCAGCAGTCCAAGATCTCTTTCTCACGTTGCCGGGGGTGGGACGGAGGAGGCATCAGGGTGTCGTAATAGCAATTCTGCTCAATCAGAAATTCCAAGTTCATGTACTCTGTATTGACCTCCAGGCTGTCTAAGACAAAGACCCCATCCGGCGACTTGGCGGGGAAGCCCTTGAAAGCTGGAGACTCGCTCCGAAACCCCACACGTGACTAGCCGGAACCGAATTAGCGCTGCACCGCCGCTGAGTTCCGACTCGCTGTTGAGTGAGGCGGTGAGGGTTTTATTTAGGGGGGCGGTGTTCCCTGACTCGAAAGGGAATAGGGCCAACTACCTTAACGGATGCAATGCAACTGCGCATGGACTCGACTTATTAGGCCCCCCTACTACCTCGCTACCACATACTCCGGACTTACAGCCATCTAGTTGACATCCTGGTACCCTTCAAGCCTTCCATATTTCGTCTTTTTCTTTCTTTACTCTTCTCCCTCCCTTACTTACAGCAGACCCTCTTTCATTTTTCTTGGGGCTTGGCTCGTTCCTCTTCCCTTCCGTCTTACTGTCCTTGCCCCGACGTCCCCACAATTATATTACACGAACGACTTTCGCAAACGTGGCCGCAGCGCAGCGGTCCGAAGTACTTCCCTCCCATCGGAGATATCCTACACATACGAGGCTGTATGCCTTGCCCTCAAGACCTCATCATCCGCTTCTGTCCCGCAGGCAACTGACCCGCTGGGGCTGCAATTCTTTCTTCGCTAGGCCCCCCCACGTGAACGTTGGGCTTTCAACCTTCGGCAGTCCCTCCAATCTATCCTTCCGTCCACCTGAGCTGCCGGTTGTTCCATCGGCCGATTGCGCGGCTTACCCGCCCACCTTCATCCCACTTTTCGACGCACGCTTCGTCATAGTCGCCCCGGTTCATACATAATAGAGACAAGGAGCAGGCTTCCGAGTCTCATTGTCGCTTTTCTCGCGTTCCTCCCTTCACACTTTTTGTTCACATCCGTCAATCCAGACAATCCGCACAAGGTGGCTGCAGATAGCGTGCCATTAACGGGTGTTGGAGAAGCCCGGGATCTGGATCCGGCCCTTGACTTCCACGATTCGGACGATGAAATGCCCATGAACCGCCCTGTCATGCATCGACCCGCTGACGGCCGCGCCCAACAACCGCTGCTCAAGGATGAGCGTCGGGGACGGCTATCGAATGCCAGCCTGGGCAATGGTGATGCAGAAGGCAGGCCTATGCTTCACCATTCCCGGCGACCGACCATCCGCGGCAGTAGCCCCGAGCACAGCGCGGAGCAGGCGACACGCCAAAAATACATGATTGCCTCGGGGTTCCTGCTTCTGAGCCTGGCGAGTTTTGTGGTTCAGACGGAGACCGCGGTATACATTCAGCACGAGCTGCACTGGGACAAACCATATTGTATGCTGTAAGTTTGGAGTATACGATCGCCGGGCTCACCTTCGAGACTTCTACGCTATTCAAGAGGCTAACCTTTCCCCGCTGCTACCTAGCTATCTCACACATGGTTCATGGGCGCTGCTGTGGCCGTTCCAGCTCCTCATCCTTCGCTTGCAGAAACGCAAACTGTCCTGGGCGGCGTTCTGGCGCCGGCATGTCTATATCCTCCGCACGACGGCAAAAATGGTGGAGACCCAGGATGTACACCTCACGTCTCGTGATTCCCAGCGATCGCCTATCCCGTATATGCTCCGAACGACGGCGTTTGTCACCACCGCTCTCACAATCGCCGGAGGCTCCTGGTACGTTGCGGTCAACATGACCACGCCGAGCGACCTGACCGCTATCTACAATTGCTCCGCCTTCTTCGCGTATGCCTTCTCGATCCCCCTCCTCAAGGACAAACTGCGGGCCGACAAGATCATCGCGGTCGTGGTAGCCATCGTCGGGGTGCTCGTGGTGGCATACGGGGATCGCGACGACGGCAAGAAAGGCAAAGCGCACGACGAAGCCGAAAACCGGTTGCTGGGCAATATCATCATCGGTATCGGCAGTGTGCTGTACGGTCTGTACGAGGTCTTATACAAGCGGTTCGCGTGTCCCCCGGAGGGCACCAGCGCCGGACGCAGCATGATCTTCGCGAACACGTTTGGCAGCCTCATCGGATGCTTCACGCTCCTTGTCCTGTGGATCCCCTTGCCCTTTCTGCACATCATTGGTCTGGAAACCTTCCGCTGGCCGACCGGCGAAGCGGCCTGGATGCTTCTGATCTCCGTCCTCGCCAATGCCAGTAAGTCAAGCCCGATCAAGCACCCCCATAAACCGAGGATTGAAAAACAAACTAATACCACCTCTCTGTCACAGCATTCTCCGGCTCCTTCCTCGTCCTGATCTCCCTGACCTCGCCCGTCCTCTCCTCCGTCGCCGCCTTACTGACCATCTTCCTCGTGGCGATCGTCGACTGGCTGCGCACCGGCCAGCCCCTGTCGCTGGCCTCCA